GAGTCTGGAGGGAAAGGGAGTGTAAAGCGCTCTGTGCAGACCATGTGGAAGCTTCAAGTCATGAGGGAGGAGGACTTCAGCTCAGGAACAGGAAGCTTCACAGGGCCAGGTGTGCTACCAATGCTGAGGCGAGGCCCCGTGGGAAGGGGGCACCTTGAGTTCTGGGGGCGGTTCCGGTAACTGAGTCAGGCCTGCCTTTGCGGGGGGGCGGGGCGGGGGATGAGTGGAAGGAAGAGCAGGGCGAGGAGCGTAGGGGTGGGCAGGGAGTGGAGGCCTGGAGGCCTTGCCCACTAGCATCAGCAAGTTGCTGCCAGATCCCCCAGGGTTTTGCCCTTAGGACTTCAGGGCCCCTGGAGTCCTAGCCTCTTCTGGAGGGGGTGCCGACAGGGAACCCAGAAACTCTGAGGAAGGAGTGGGTCTAAGTTGGGGCAGATGGAAGAGTATGGGCTTGGGGATCAAATAGAGCCTTTCTCTTCTAGCCGTGAGACCTCGAGCAAACCTCTTTCTTAATTTCTGAGCCTCGGGTTCCTTCTCTATACAACGAGGACAGAGCTATCCACTTCTATATGAGTGTTCTCACTCTGCATAGCACTTTCCCCACGAGGGAAAAACCATGGTAAAGTAAGAAGAGTAGCTACTATTTATGGAGGCTTACCAGGTGCTAAGTACTGTGATTAGTGGATTATCTCTCTTCCTCCTAACAGCTTTCTGAGGTTGTAAAGTCACTTGGTGGACAAGGAAACCCAAAGAGGGCCAGGGATTGGGAAGTAGCAGCGTCCAGTTTTGAAGCCATGCCTGACCCAGAGCCCTGCACCATGGGGCCTCCCAGACGTCAGACATGCCCACCCCCCTACCCCTGCCCTGTTCCCTCAGCCCTCCAGTCTGACTGAGCCCAGATCTGCCGAAGGAGAGGCTGGACCAGGCAGGTCAGCTCAGGTCCAGTGGAAGTGGCCCCCGGGGTCCTGTTCCCACCATGGCGTGGGCTGGGCGGCCTGCCTGACGAGTCTGCAATCCTGCCATGCCATTAGCGGGCAGCCAGAGGGGGTGTCTGCAAGCGCCAATGCTGGGGTTCCCGCGGCTGCTTGCCTATTAGTGGCTGGTGGCTTCGTCGTGATTTATTGGGGCTTCTTCATTTCCCCTTGGTCCGCTATAAACATATTTATACCACCAGAGCGACCGATAAATTTCCCTTATGAATCCTGTTATCTCCCCCATTAACCATCCGTCACCTTTTATGCGGCCATGATGGGCTGGGCCAGGGCACTGGGGCTGGGTGGGAGGCCCACTGCCCGAAGCCCTGGGCCCAGTGAACTCTTCACCTCCCCCACTGCTCCCCAGACAGAGCAGCCACGGCTGCCTTGGAGCTGCCTCTCGAATGAGGCCTCAGAACAGACTGGACCAGGTGGGCCCTGTGAAATGTGTCTTCCTCCGGGGTCTCACAAAGAGCAAGTCCCTCATAGCGCTAACCTGAGTCTCTCCCGCTGTAGCTCTGGCTGGCTTCATCTCTTCTAAGTGAGCAGGAGCCCCCAGAAGCTGCTGCCATTGCCCTTCTTCCTCTACCCACCCTCAGGGCTCACCCTCAGCCCCCTAAGTGCAGCAGAAAGCGAGGACACAGTGAGATGCGGTACCAGCGGCTGGATGCCAGCTGGCATTTGCCAAGCACCTCCTCTGTGCCAGTCACTTTACATCCATGATTTCATGTGATCGTCCCCAAATCCTGGAGCCATTGGCCAGATGAGGAGATAAGGCTCAGAGACATTAAATGAAGAGCCCATCACCCAGCCAAGGGGCAGAGCTGTGATTTGGGGTTTTTCTGGGCCTAACGCTTATACTTCCAACCAATGTCCTCTACCACCTCTTCAGATGCCCTGGGCTAGAAGGGGTTAATCCAAGAAAGTTTTCCAGCAGAGGGCTACAGAGCAGGGGAGGAGGGAGGAGAGGAGGGAGGGGATGGGTCCTCCATGGAAGGCTGCCAAGGAGACGGGGCAGGGCTGAGGAGTGACCTCCACAGTTGGGAAAACTTGGACACCTGTTCAGAGTCAGGCTCCAAGCTACTGGGGGTTGGAGGTAAGGCCTCTTAGAGCCCCAAGGCACCTGTTCTGCCCACATCTGGCAGGACAAGGGGCCTGGTATATGGTCTGGATTAGCAGGGCCTGACTCAGATCTTGCCATCTGTGTGACTGGGAGGCCCTCCTTTCTCTAGGCCTCAGCCTCTGCCTGCACCTGGGCATGTGTTCTGCCCTTTGAGTACCTGACATATCAGCTTCCTTGGGAGATGGCTGTGTGTCTGTGGGATGCCTGGGAGTCTTATTTTCTCTCCCTTCACCCACACATCAGCCGGAATGCCGAGAGCTCCTCTGGAGTAGAGATGACTCACATCTCTAACAGAGGACCATTTCCAGATGTAGGTAGATCAGAGTTCCCCCTGGGCCTCATGGCTTCTCTGGCCCAAAGCGGATGAGCACAGGTGAGTGTTACTATCCTCATTTCAAAGATGAGGAAACTTAGGCCCAGAGAAGGAAGGATTCTGAGCAAAGACCTGAGCCCTGGGTTAAGGGACAGTGCCCGGGAGGGGACTCAGCTGCATTCCAGCCAAAAGGTAGCAGAGGGGGCTGAGGAGGGGGGCGGAGGGCAGTCCACTGGGTCTGGGTTGGCCCCAGGTCAGGGGTGGCACACACAGCTCTCTGATGGATGTTTAATTTCTTCTGTGTCCAACAATGCCATGCCATCCTGGGTGGTCTAGGGATGACTAGGGCAGAGGGGATTACGGGCCAACACATCATGGAAACAGATTCTCCTCTGACGTCAAGAAGATGTGGCAGATCATTCTGGCCATTCCCCTGACTCCCATGGTCCAGAGGGAATTGCTGTTGGTTACAAGGTCTAGTCCATCTACGTCCTGGCTCTCCACACCACAGCATCTGTGGGGAAATAGCCATGCTGGGAGGAAGGAGACCTGCTGTGCAGCCTGGAGCATGTTCTGGCCCCTTCTGAGCCTCATCCCTTAGAAAACTCCAGCTTAGACTTCAGACTCCATGCTACCATATGCCATGGGGACACCCCTAACCTCAGACCAGAGCTGCTGAAGTGGAGACCAGGGCAGAGACAAGCAGGTGCCACAGCCAGACACTGGTCATCTCTCCCACGGTGGCTTACAGCCTTGCTCCCTCTCCTGGTCTCACCTGCTCTTCTCCTTCCTTTTGCCCTCTCTGTCCTACCAACTGTCTGTCTGTCTTTCTCTCTCTGTGCTG